GTGTTATTATCGTGTTATCCTATGTCTAAAGTCCGTTACTATCGTGTTACTATCCTACAGATTGTGATACTGTCAATATTGTTTTACTATCCTAAGATAAGTGTACAAATTGTATTACATATTTTAACATCGTGCACAATAGTACATTGAATTGCTGTTTTGTTGCTATCCTACATAGGTGCTACATGTATCCTACGAAGGGTGTAACAGTTGACTTTCTATCCTAATCTGGATGTCACTGTTGTGTTACTATCACAGAGAGGATGTTGTGTTACTATCATACAGAGGATAAGAGTGTTGTGTTACTATCCCAGAGAGGATGTTGTCGTTGTGTTATTATCCCACAGATATGTTGCTGTTGTTATTATCCTTGAGAAGTTGTTGCCTTGTGATACTATCGTACAGATAACGTTGCTGTTGTGTTACTAGCCTGCAAAGGGTGTTGCTGTTGTGTAACTACCCTACATAGGGTGCTGCTGTTGTGTTACTACCCTACATAGGATGTTGCTGTTGTGTTACTATCGGACAGATAACGTTGCTGTTGTGTTACTAGCCTACAAAGGGTATTGCTGGTGTGTCACTACCCTACATAGGATGTTGCTGGTGTGTCACTACCCTACATAGGATGTTGCTGGTGTGTCACTACCCTATAAATGGTGTTGCTGGTGTGTTACTACCCTACGAATGGTGTTGCTGGTGTGTCACTACCCTACAAAGGGTGTTTCTGTTGTGTCACTACCCTACATAGGATGTTGCTGGTGTGTCACTACCCTACAAAGGCTGTTGCTGTTGTGTTACTACCCTACAAATGGTGTTGCTGTTGTGTTACTATCGGACAGATAATGTTGCTGTTGTGTTACTAGCCTACAACGGGTGTTGCTGGTGTGTCACTACCCTACATAGGATGTTGCTGGTGTGTTACTACCCTATAAATGGTGTTGCTGTTGTGCTACTATCGTACAGATAACGTTGCTGTTGTGTTGCTGGTGTGTCACTACCCTACATAGGATGTTGCTGGTGTGTTACTACCCTACAAATGGTGTTGCTGTTGTGTTACTATCGTACAGATAACGTTGCTGTTGTGTTACTAGCCTACAAAGGGTTTTGCTGGTGTGTCACTACCCTACATAGGATGTTGCTGGTGTGTCACTACCCTACATAGGATGTTGCTTGTGTGTCACTACCCTACAAAGGTTGTTGCTGTTGTGTTACTACCGTACATAGGGTGTTGCTGTGGTGTTACTAAGAAGTGTATAAATAACCTTAAGAGAGTGCAATTGTGGAATCGTACGACGCACCGGAAAAAGCGCTGCATATCGTGCAGACATTGTCCGAAATGTGCTATATACAAAGCAGAAATCTTTCTGAACAGACAGATTACAAAATTACCCGTACAAATGAATTTCTTTCTCAATTAAAGATAAAAACAGATATTCAAAATAGCAAGAGGATGTCATAATTAGCTCGTGCCTAGACTACTTTAAAATATTATAACATGTCCCTTCAGTCTGTGTTACTATCTTATGGATGGTTTAACTGCTGTGTAACAAGTGTACTTGCTATATGACTATTTCAACTGCTGTGTTACTATTACTGTTACTATCCTTTAGAAAGGGTGTTTCTGTCATGTCATTCGACTTTTAGGTTTTTGTTACTGTCTTGTTACTTCCTGTTTGAATGTGCAACTGCTGTGTTACTATCCCATGAAAGGTTTATTTGCTGTGTAACTATTGTAACTGATGTGTTACTATCCTACGTAGGGTTTACCTGCTGTGTAACTATTGTAACTGATGTGTTACTATCCTACGGAGGGTTTAACTGCTGTGTTACTATTGTAACTGATGTTTTACTATCCTCTCGAGGGTTTAACTGCTGTGTAACTATTGTAACTGATGTGTTACTGTCATACGGATTGTTTAACTGCTGTTTTACTATTGTAACTGATGTGTTACTATCCTCTCGAGGGTTTAACTGCTGTGTAACTATTGTAACTGATGTGTTACTGTCCTACGGATTGTTTAACTGCTCTGTTACTATTGTAACTGATGTTTTACTATCCTCTCGAGGGTTTAACTGCTGTGTAACTATTGTAACTGATGTGTTACTGTCATACGGATTGTTTAACTGCTGTTTTACTATTGTAACTGATGTGTTACTATCCTCTCGAGGGTTTAACTGCTGTGTAACTATTGTAACTGATGTGTTACTGTCCTACGGATTGTTTAACTACTGTGTAACTATTATAACTGATGTGTTACTATCCCCTAGAGGGTTTAACTGCTGTGTAACTATTGTAACTGATGTGATACTATCCTTTAGAAGATTCTTCTGTCCTGTCACTCTTCATTCTAGGGCGTTACTGTTGTATTACTATCACTTTGAGAACGCTACTCTTGTGGTGCTAATCAGGGTGGGAAATACCGCTGTGATGTATCTTCTAGAAATGTATGGTTTCAGAAAACACTTCTTTAATGTGAGTGGATTATAGAATGCTAGCGTTGTCATGTATAATATGTAATAAGCATCAAATTTGCTATTGGTGATGTAAAACTATTCGTGCAGATAAATATGCACGCGTTATATCAATAAAATACAAGGACACCAGTATACACAGTCGAACCTGCTCGTCTTTATTTCTATAAAAATAGCACTTTTGCATATGTGACATGTGGTTTATAGTTACATCTATACACGTGAGATGTAGTAATGCTGTCTCCCTGGTACCAGAATCATATACAATTATGCCTTAAGTTTTATAAATAATGTGACTGACGTCATTTTAGATTTTGCGGTTGAATGGAGGTTGCTGTCGAGACAAGTTATATTTCCACTACATTAATCCTCAAGTTTGACATCTTATCATTTCTACATCCGCTTTCATTACTGCATGTAAGACAATACGATCGGCGATCTGGAACTCTCCATAAATGGAGGCGATAGGCACACTGATTGAGTGGTCTACTCATGCGCGGGTCTTATCTGACGTCACTCAATCTGCAGACGACAGTTATGGAAGCTTTCGACGGAGAGGTAATTAGTTTGCACGTCAATACTACCGCCCTAAATATCGCATTACTGGTAGCAATTCTTACGATGAAGCGGATAACATCCAGATGCAACCTTATTCGGGTTTAAAGCTTTAGAATGTAACACCGAATGAGTGTGATTCGAAAGAGATTAAACAATCAAGTATGTGATTTGTCATGCAGTCGAGTCTTATCGATATTTATGGTCCTCTGTAGTTTCAGAAGATGGTATATATTACTCAGACAAAGCTACAGTTACAATGCATAAAATATAGGAGATGCAGAAGATAAGAACGTTAAATCTAGCGAACACGCGCAGATCAGTTACCGTAGATCCGAGTGTGTAAACGGGAGTTGCCTCCCTTTATATCGACCAGCTGATCTTAAGTTTTGTATATGAAATGTAGAAGTATATGGAACACGCCTATGACAGACGTTGAACTCGCACTCATTCACCCACCTGTTTACTATATACTTGATCACTAGATACATGGTCACAATCTATCACAGATACTGGATAAACAACGATGATAAAACACACCTACAATGATGCGACCTCACAGTACACAAGGTCATGTGTACAGTTACCGTCACACAATCTGGCCCAAACCCTCTACTTTCTCCGGCACATACCGACATCTTTAACAGGTAATTTACCAACCAACAGAACGATCAGAAATCAACATATCTATATACTCACTGTGCTGTATACATTTTGTTTAAGGTATACCGACAAGTATGAAGGGTAACTTACATACACATCGACAGGTATGATGAGTACCGTACATACACATCGACAGGTATGACGAGTACCGTACATACACATCGACATGTATGACGAGTACCGTACATACACATCGACCTGTATGACGAGTACCGTACATACACATCGACAGGTATGACGAGTACCGTATATACACATCGACATGTATGACGAGTACCATACACACACATCGACAGGTATGACGAGTACCGTACATACACATCGACAGGTGTTACGAGTACCGTACATAAACATCGACAGGTATGACGAGTATCATACACACACATCGACAGGTATTACGAGTACCGTACATACACATCGACATGTATGACGAGTACCGTACATACACATCGACAGGTATGACGAGTACCAACCATACACACACATCGACAGGTATGACGAGTACCGTACATACACATCGAAAGGTGTGACGGATATTTTCACAAAAATGTACAGTCGCACATTTTATATCAATCATACCAAAGCAAGAGATGTTTATACTAAAAACAGAAAGAATGACAGAAAGTTAAATAACTGTGTCGAACGCGCGAGATACAGTATATCAATAGTTAAGACTGGTAATATAGAATGATGGACACGGTACACTACTTCTAATTCAGTGTTTGGGTAGATTTACTGTAGCGGGTAACGATCTAAGGAGAAAACATATGGTGTATTACAAGTGGTATTTTATAACTCCTCGTGTTCATAAGGGGTATTAAGTACAGGTAAATATCTTTAGCAAATCATGATAAAACGTTCATCTTTTCTGAAATCAATTAGTGAAATTATTTTCCTTTTGATGACTTTGATAGGATTACCTAACTCAGAACTGACCATCTAGTCGAAATGACCTCCCATGGATTATCCAATCGAATTGACCAAACACAGAATGAACTACATGGTCGGATCGACATACCCCAGGAGTTCCTGCTGGATACGACATACAATCTGACTGTCGAAATCTACCAAGGCCCACCTCAACACTATATTGCAATGTTTCCCTATCATTTATTGAGCAAATAATATCTATGAACGCAATCGGTATCTTAAGTTTAACATGAAGACTTATTTCTGTCTCATACCTACTGACGATGTCGGCTGATTGGGTAGGGTTTGAGCCTGTGACGCTCAACATGCAACGAGTCACGTGATCACTCCTCACCGAGAGTGCAGGTCACATGACAAGTGCGCCGCCTCCATACCGACGGAATGTAACTACACAAATATAGGCCATCTATTCTTTATAATTGTCTAAATAACACTTACATATCACATTGACATATTTCAATTACCGTCACTAACAATATCATTATATATTTCTAAATTCATAATTCAATAATAAATACAGAAACACAACAAGTTATGATAAAATCTGTCTAGATTAATCCATGTAGTCCACATGTCCAGTATTCAGGACAAACCAAGTTTAACATCGAACCACTCATCAATCATGGATCGACCTCAATCATTTAAATAGTTCCTGAAATGAATCGTGATATTTTTCATTGTTATTGATATTAATGATCACAAGATGAAAAGTGTAACGGGTCGGACTGCCATCTCAAGGAGATGAGACGGGTAAAATTAAAATGGCGATCGTGTTACTTGATGACAAACAGGAATATTTCATCGCCACCTGGTAAATGCACCTTTCGTGCTGGGGCTGGTCCCTGTAAACACATTTAAACACCAATTAGAGCCACGTCCCCATATACACCAGTACACACCGCTTAGAACCACGTCCTTGTATACACCAGTACACACCGATTAGAGCCACGTCCCTATATACACCAGTACACACCGGTTAGAACCACGTCCCTGTATTCACCAGTACACACCGGTAAGAGCCACGTCCCTGTACACAACAGTGAACACAGGTTAGAACACGCGTCCCTGCATACACCAGTACACGCCGCTTAGGTGTCGTCCTTGTATACTGTATACACCAGTACACACCAGTTAGAACCACGTCTCTGTACACACCGGTACACACCGATTATAACCACGTCCCTGTACACACCGGTTAGAGCCACGTCTCTTTACACACCGGTTAGAACCACGTCCCTGTATACACCAGTACACACCGGTTAGAGCCACGTCCCTGTATACACCAGTACACACCGGTTAGAGCCACGTCTCTTTACACACCGGTTAGAACCACGTCCCTGTATACACCATTACACACTAGTTAGAGCCACGTCCCCGTATACTCCTTAACAAATCGGTTAGAGCATTGCCGTTTCATACACATCTACACACTGATCGGTCCCTCATACTTGTATATGATCTGTAAAGACACGTGTACTTCTAACTTATCTAGTGTACTGTGCGAAATAGTTGTATAAAGACATTCCAGTTCATATAATGATCCAAAACATTCCGATATCTTCAGGTCTTAAGAATGTTTGTCATTCAAAACATTGGACACATAACATTGAACTCCATATTTATTGCTTATCTTTTCTCCAAATTTATTTCCCATTTGTCAATCGTTTAGTCGAACTTTCTCCAAATTATCCACGTGCGTCTCTGAGTTGACGGGAGCATATTGTCTGTGGTTTAACTCTAGGCCATTTGACTGTCTGGATGAATTCCGAGAAACGTCCGACAGCACTTTCCTCCCGAACAAATTCTTGAGAACTCCCAATAATACCCTCCGGAATTTCTGACCAACGAGAGTATAAATTAAAAAGTTCACAGACGAATTAGCTACAAACAGGATATTACTCACAGCTAACCACTTAATCATCATAACAGTATTAAACAAGAAGTCAAACTGGGCAAACAGACCCGGTGTTTGGCACAAGATAAAAACAACAACAATCAACACGAGAACGAGGCTGAGGTTAGCCTCTTGGTCATCCTGAATGTTCATTCCAGCTCGACGTGCACGCATGCGCATGAGTTCCATGATGATGAGGATGTTAAGCACTGTTAGTACACTTAGTGGTATAATGTATATTATGCTAGCGTACATCCACACTGAGTAAACTTTAGTGTAGAAAAAGTTTTCACCAAATTCCGTTGTAAGGAGCAGGAAACAGTCATGGCCAGCTGGCACCTCGGGACCGGGATCCGTGCAAGGAGTCCGGGCCATGGTGGCAAACAGTCGCGGAATGTTGTAGGCGATCGAAGTGACAGTGATGACAATGAGAGTGATGTACGTCTTTTTGCGCGTGCAGATTTTCTGTGCGCGGAACGGGTGACAAATGGCGATGTAGCGTTCTACTGAAACTGACACTGTGATCCAAACATTGCATTGCTGAATACTCATGATGAGGAAAAAGACGCCGGTGTAGAGGTTAGGGTAAATGACATCTTTGTAGTACCACAACTCAGGATGGAACAAGGAGATAGAATAGGGCGTGAGTGCCACACAAGCTACAATAATGATACCGGTATCTGTTACCACGAGCGCGCACAAGAACAAAATAGTAGTCGATTGCATCTCCTTCCGCCACAGTACCATCATAGTCAGGATGTTTCCGATCACGCCCAACACCGAGATGATGGGAAGGGCGATGCCATTACACATATATTGCATATAGAAAGCGTCCAGTTGATCTGTGCTGTTACCCGTGTCCTGGATATATTTGCCCCCGTACGACAGGTTCAACGCAAAGTTTGTCTCACTCACACCCATGTTCAGGCCGCGTCACACAATGAAGTAGAGATGACGACGTCAATAACTGGTAATAGGTCCAGAGGTGATTTCGGGATTATCAAAGCCGATATCCATGTAGATGAATGTCTGAAAATATAAAAGGAGACATCTTATAAGTGTTGTTTGATGCAATAAAATACTTGCATGTGCAGAATACAACACAGGCAGAACGATATACGGGCGTTGTAACGACACGAGTCTGCCACAGGAGGCTTAAATACATCAATCTGCCTGTTAATCGTTTGGTTCGGACCCGGTGGTTTGTGATTACCTCCCGTTGATATGTAAGTGATCAGCGCGCCTGGACTCTCATCTTTCACACCACACTAACCCTACCCGCCACTCTTACCATACATAACTCCACACTTACCTACACGTGCTTTACCAAAATAGTTTGAAATTGAGTCGCTCGGTGGCGATAATATCTGTAATAGGGAGTCGATGGGTACAACGCAGTGGTCAAGTAACTTGGCCCCAGCATTCCACTCGCAACCTGGTCGAGTTAATGTCTACATCAAAAGACACTACTGATAAAGTGTTGCGACAATAAATAGCCACCATATACGTGTTACAGCCACCGCACCTGTTAGTTACAACCACCAGGCCTGTCACAGTTACTGTACCCAGGTCAGGAATTGTACACACCTATCTAAAGTAAAGCATCTACTGTCTCTAAAACTGAGACAAGAACTCGATAGAAAAATAAGTAGTTCAGTGGCCCATAAGTAAATATATCCTTATCTGATAAAAACTTACATAGCACATGACCTCGTGAGTTATAACTGATAGTATATAGTGCTAGTACTTCTATATGAAAACACGTGCAACTCCAGAAATGTTATTATATACTGTTACATAAGGTATGAAAATGAAGAAGCAAACGATGTTGAGTCAGTCCTAACCTAATACACAACATTATGACAGCTTGTGTAAACTAGATCGTCACTATTGGTGTCGGAACGATCGACTTGTATAGACCTCACAAATCAGGTTACCCATCCTCGGCATCAATAACGGACGATAGGCCATCCGGAACGCTGCTTAGCCGACTCCAGCTTCTATATTAGATAGAGAAGTGAGTCGGCAGCATCTGTTTCCAAAAGTCGACATGTAATGTAATGTACACAGTTGTTTCTTTTGTAAGCGGATTTTAGTGGCAGAGCCAATAAAATAAACCTGTTTTTATACTCCTACGTCGAGAGATGAGCAGTTCGGAACACTCAATTAATTACTTCCCTAATGATCCTTGAAAACCTCAATTAAGAATCGGCAATCTGAGTGCACTTTCATATGCAAACTTCCTGAACAAAATAGTCGAGTTTCTAAGTTAAATATGTGTGGAATGTGTTTCATCAAAATTGGCCAACACGTTAAGTCCTGTTACGTTCTGATTTATTCTAAGAAGATCAGCATGCATGCGTTTCCGCGTGCTACATGCGATATATGTCATACTAAGAGACGTAAACATCAATTCTATAGTACACCGATCAGTTATCTCAGACCTGACCTGAACATCAACTGACCTTAACTCAATTGTGGATAGTGATAGGCGACTATTCCAGATTTTTTCTGATATAAATACACTTTGTTTATGTACCAAACTGCGATGAATATAATTTGTGTCGATATTTCTATTGTGTATTATGAGTCGACGTTGTTTGGACTCATACGAACCAGGGTGAACTGCTTTGCTGTATGCCTCTGCGCTAGGTGAATCAAACAGAACTTGTTTGTCTCTGCGCTAGGTGAATTAGAAAAAACTTGTATGTCTCTATGCTAGATAAACCAGAAAAAACTTGTATGCCTCTGCGCTAGATAAACCAGAAAAAAACTTGTATGTCTCTGCGCTAGGTGAATTAGAAAAAAACCTGTTGGTCTATGCGCTGGGTGAGTTAGACAAAACTTGTAGGTCTCTGCGCTAAGTGAATTAGACAAAACTTGTAGGTCTCTGCGCTAGGTGAATTAGACAAAACTTGTAGGTCTCTGCGCTAGGTGAATTAGACAAAACTTGTATGTCTCTGCGCTAAGTGAATTAGACAAAACTTGTAGGTCTCTGCGCTAAGTGAATTAGATAAAACTTGTAGGTCTCTGCGCTAGGTGAATTAGACAAAACTTGTATGTCTCTGCGCTAGATAAACCAGACAAAACTTGTAGGTCTCTGCGCTAGGTGAATTAGAAAAAAACTTGTTAGTCTATGCGCTAGGTGAATTAGACAAAACTTGTATGTCTCTGCACAGAGTTACACTAGGGAAATATGGTTCCGTCTTTAGCACATACAGTGACTGAAATCTATATTTTCGAGTGTTTTTAACAACATCCATTCGCCATATAGTCCCAGTCATTTATATTATTCTGCTTGATAAAAGAACCGATGCGTTCGAAAGCTCGCAAATAGTTTTCAATTATAATTTGTGCTGAAGATAAACATATTCTTAAACATTTCAATACCAATCTAATGAATCTCATTCTGAACAAAAACTGGGTCCTGTAACAAGATTTTCCCGAGGAATCCTGGCGCCAACCATTGTTAGATCTTCATTCGATCTTTGAAAGTTGGATTTTTACCCTTCTTTATCGGATCGCTTCGCAGCCATTTTTTTTCTCTTTTGTTCAGTCCTAAAATCAAACGGACACAAGTAGAGACCATGGGAAACGTATTTCTGAATTTTGAGAGAGATTCACTTAGTACTTAAGAAATAGAGATAACAATCTTTACTAGGAAAAATCAAAGATGGCTGCCTGTCGGCCATTTGTTTTTTTTTTCAGATCAGACCCAAAATCAAATGGGCACAACTAGAGACCTAGTGGAACATATGAAACTTGAGAAATATCCATGAAGTATTTACCAAGAAATAGCGATAACAAAAATTGCGGACGAATGAACGGACCACGGATGTAAGGCGATTTGAAAGGCCCACCATCTGATGATAGTGGGCTTAAAAACTCTTAGAGGTTTCAGCAGCATCTATCCATTCGTCTGCGCTCTGGATTCCATTAGATAACTTGTTGAATTATCTCTCAATTTGAAGAAATTTTTTTAAAACATTCTTGATATGAGGTCCCGACTTTAAATCTCCTAGTTAGTTTAAACACGCTCTAATTAATTAGTATACTCGAACAAGTCAATGTTACACATTTACATACGTGTATACATAATCAAACATGACCGTATTCTGACTTACCGTCGTCAGAATTTAAACAGTCATATATATATTATTTACTATTACGAAACTCTCCCGGTAATAAGGAAGCACTAGAGACATTTTACATGTATATAATTGGTTATGTCGCTATGGAAATTAAGATGATAAAGAGACACCAGTAAATAAATACCTAAACTTGTATATCATCATTTCTCGTCTTTCTACAGTCCAGATAAACACGGAACCGTATTGATTGGCGACTGCTATTCTTACAATTCAATATTTTCAAATAGATTTGAAACATGATAAACAAAGAAAGGTTCCAAGTGTGTCAGTTAGATATTGTTTAAATCTAAGTTCATGTTACATCAGGGCGTATACTGTTCCGCCCCTGCTTTCTCTGATATGCAGGTTATGATAAATATCGCCCTGCCTGTATAATGTGTATTGACATACGAGTCATTAGGAAATCAGCTGCAGTCCTACAGCTATGTTTAATGTTCATAAACCAAGTGTTAAAGGTGACCACAACGTTGGTATTGATTTCATCGCTTTGTAAATACTAAATAATCTATGTATTTTTAATACATAATTATGGTTAATTTAGCCAGCTTGTGTACAGCACGTGATCACTCAACCGGTCACACCGGTACCGTTACTCGACCAGGTATCAGGTACAGGTACGAACAACTCACCTGCACGTGATCCATTCATACCAACACAGGTGTCCGGAACACCTGAGGCTCGAGTAAATAATAGCCCAGTCGTGATCGTGAACAGTCCTGTTAAACGTCAGGCACGGAATTCAAACTACATGCATAAACGCAAAAACCACGGCGGTCCTCCAACTGATGTGTTCGTTGGTGTTAAAAGGGAACGCACCGTTCGGTATTACGTAACGGGAATTGGTAAAGAGTCCACAAAATCTGGAATACTAAATTATATTACAAAGAAAGGCGTCCGGGTGACGGACTTAGTTTTATTTGACAGTAAGGACAATACATATTCAGCCAAGGTGAATGTATATGAGCAAGACGCGCAACTATTGCTAGATGTCAAATTTTGGCCAACAAACGTCTTTTGTCAGCCATGGCTTACACGCAAGGAACGTTTGCAGCGTAATAGTCGACGACGGCCACAGCAATTTGATCGCGGTCCTTCAAAGTGGCACAGGAACAATAGGTTCTATCGCAAAAGGAATGACTTCGCGGACAGCGAGGAAGCACACACTTCGGGCTGGAATGAAAGTAGTTACAAGCGTGACTATTACACTAATACAAACGAAAACTATGACTATAGGGATAACGGAAACTATTCCGAGAATCTCGACACAGACTCTGGTAGATGGAGAGAGTATCCCGAGACTCTCGACAATGACTCCAGTAGTTGGAGAGAATACAGTTATTAGATTAAGTTATGGACTATTGTAACACAATCTGCTATATACTTGTAATGTCAGCTATAAACCTAACTCTACTAACCTGGAATATTAGAGGATTCGGAACGTCAGCAACATCTATCGGTAACTTAATCCGATCCGGCGAGTTCCGCAAAGACATCCTAGTATTTACAGAGACTAACATCGCCATTCACAATTTAGAACTATTCGAAAATTTACACAAAGACTACTTCTGCGTACCAGAATGTACCGAAATTAACAATGAAAAGTGTGAACATATTAGACAAAACGTGACAATGTTAATTAACAAATCTCTATATCACTCCGTGTCCACTCTTTGGGTAAGTGATAGAATCGTAACCATACAACTGGACACTGGTCAGTCTAGGGTTATAACAATAATAGGCGTGTATCTCCCAAGTAACAATAACATTGATGAGTACACAGTTCTTACACAACAAATAAGAGATTTGTGTGAATACCATTGTCTCACGGGAAATGTGATCATTGCTGGAGATTTTAATGCCAAATTAGGTCCACTTCCG